CGAGTCACAGGGCAACCCGGGCTCCAGAGGACGCTCCTAATGTAGTTGTGATCTAATTATTTAAAGATATATTGATCAAGGAAATAAAATCGCGTTCCGAAAAACGGCTTTGTTTTCCCTAAGTGTGATTCTGTCAACATTTCACTATACTCATTTATTTAAACATATTTATTGTAATATAACCGAATAATAAGTATTTATTTGATTCTTAAAAAAAAGCAACTAACTATTCAGTGGAAAAACATCCCTCGTTATAGAAAAAAGAAGACTTAATATACTACAAATAACTCCCCTAACATAACAGCCTGATAACGTATTTCATACCCCTCATTTAGGTGATACCACTTCTGTTTAACGCCGACATCATGAGAGACTACTACAGGCAAGGACTGAAAGAGTTTAGAGCTGACAACGTCCAGTATATAGAGCTACGAGGCCTGTTCTCTGGGGTACGTTTCGCCTATCACATCGTAGCATTCAGTGAAATGATGATATAATTAGCGTATAACAACTGTCAGCCTGTTATGTGACGTTTTGTGTTCGCAGTTTACCGATTGGGACGGGACTGCCCATGACACGGCCTTTGGCGTTGAACTGTTCGATCAGGTGACCAGACAGTTTGTTAAAGACTTCCCTGACGTTAGCGGTGCCAAAATCATTATATCAGGATTAAGGTAAGGGCAGGTGAGGGTGAACAAGATATTTTTAACATCCCTTTCCTATTTTGTGGGGTTTTTTTGGCCATGAAGTTGAAGTCTAAGAATCTGGTTTTTGTTTGGTTATGTTAGTATTCTTTAAGTGCAATGAGCTGGTGTCTTTTTTAGCTGTGTTTGTATTCCTTAGAGCAAGAATCTGGTTTTTGTTTGGTTATGTTAGTATTCTTTAAGTGCAATGATCTGTTTTTTTTGGTTGTGTTTGTATTCTTTGAGTGCAAGGATCAAATTTTAACTGTTGTAGAGATTGCTTATTTGCCATAAAAAAAGAAATATAAAAACGTAGAATAAGGGGTGATTGCAACGAACTCTTTTACTTAAGAAATACTAAAAAGTGGTTTTATTTTCTTGCAAGCCGTTCGTGTCTAAGACACAAGGGGCAGATGAAGTAGAGCATCTATTTCAGTGACCTCGGCATATGAAGGAATAGTGTGGTCAGCACTCTGCCCAGTCGTCTAACGTGAGTTAGGTACTCTTCAGAGCTGGGTGGTACTAGGGACGTTCTACTGACTTGAACCCGGATTTGAGCTCGAGACTTTCGAGTTACTAGTCAACCGTGTGTGGTTATTTAGCAGCATATATCCCCGCTGCCCAGGTTTTGGGATTGTATTAAATCTCCAAAATAATTTTGTCTATATGCAAATATTGACGTTTGAGAATATAAATGCATAACCCTAAACCTAAATCAAACACTAACCCTAACCGCAACCAACCACAACCAACTACAACCAATACCACAACCACAAATACACCCATAACAACAACCAAAAACGTAAACGTCAGCATCAACATCAATATGAACATCAACATCAATATATGAGTCGATCACAGAGACACACGCTAACGACCTTGTTCACTACAACCCAGAGGCGTAGCGAGGGGGGGGACCGACACATGTCCCCGGGCGCCGACCTTAGGGGGGGGGGGGGGCGCCAAAATGGGTTGGAAAAACAAATTGAAAGTTTGAGGGGGGGGGGATGCTAATCAAAAGTTCGAGGGGGTGCAAATCGAAAGTTTGAGGGGGGGGGAGGTGCAAATCAAAAGTTTGTCCCCGGGCGCCGGCAAGGGTCGCTACGCCTCTGCTACAAGCGTTAACATCTACATTTTAAATGGTCTCAAACTTATATTGCACATAGGTTTAAACCTGTCAACGAAATAAGCGAACGGGTCTTCACGACGGTCGCCTTAAGGAAGAAATACCCTGAGTTTGTCTTGGGCTTTGACCTGGTGGGCCAGGAAGACCCCAACCACCCCCCTCTCCTACTACATGGAGTCGCTGCTGAAACCTGGGAACATGCTGCCCTATTTCTTCCACGCGGCGGAAACCAGTGAGTCGAATGTGGGGTTAGGTCTTGGGCGGCTCTCAGTAAAATCGTCTCAGGTCATAAACCCTCTGGACATAACACTCCCCCCTCCGGGCAAATAACACTTCATAAACCCCTGGACATAATCCCCCCCCCCCACCTCGAGCAAAAAACCTTACATAAACCCCTGGAAATAGTCCCTCTCGAGTAAATGACCCTACATAAACCCCTGGACATAGTGTCATAGTCGCCCCCCCCCCCCCCCAGAGCAAATACCACCTACATGAACACACTGGACAATAACAAAAAATCATTTTAAAAAAAAGCTTAAGAAAAAAACAACACTTTTACTATGCATTTATAGGCCTAAATAATTCTGATTTTTAATGAGCGATGCCTCACAATTACTCTAATATGGTGCGCTCATTAAAGGTTTTGATCAAAAGTTGCAATTCGTGTATTGCAATCGATTTATTTTTGTTTGTGTTTTTGGTAAACAGTGTCCTTAATTTCTGTGCATAATACACCTCTTATTTGCAGTATAGTAGACCTATATAGTAGACTAATAATTATAGTATGTATTATATATATATATATATATATATATATATATATATATATATATATATATATATATATTTATTTATTTATATATATATATATATATATATATATATATATATATATATATATATATATATATATATATAATATATATATATCCTTCGTATTGCTCTTTATGATTAGAATTTTCTTATATAAACCTCATCCGGGTGTTAGTGTCCATGGGGTTAATGTCGGGGGTATTATGTCGAGGGGGGGGGGGGGGTATGTGAGTTCCTTAAAACCTTTGAACTCTACAGACTGGCAAGACACGGAGGTTGACTACAACCTTATCGACGCTCTCCTGCTGAACACGACCCGCATCGGGCACGGCTACGGTCTCATCAAACACCCCAAGGTGCTGGAGATGGTCAAACAGAAGGGTATAGCTGTGGAGATTAACCCCATCTCGAGTCAGGTAACAATAATACACTAATCTGATACGCCACATTTGTTTTTAGTTTGAGAATCATTTAAGAGTAATATAAATCTTAAAAACCATACAAGACAGTGTGTTAAACGGTTCATATAACGGTTGACGGAAACAGAATGAACTATACTTGCTTGAAGGTTGGGAAGAAGTGAAAATATGTCGGCAGGAAAGAAGGGCGGGGAGGGAAAGGGAGACAATTCCAGTTGAAAAACTATGGAGGGTTTTTGTAATGGCCATTGGCGAAACAAAAATAAATAAATAAATAAAAAGCCAAATGAATGAAATCAAGTATATTCCTCCTTGTGACGTCACTTCCTCCAGCTCCTGGGACTGGTCTCAGACTTAAGGAACCATCCAATGGCCATCCTTGCCGCCAACGACTACCCACTGGTCGTCAGCTCCGACGATCCCGCCGCCTGGGAAGCGGCTCCACTGTCACATGACTTCTTTGTGGCTTTTATGGACATGTCCGGCAGGGATGCTGACCTCACCTTCCTCAAACAGTTGGCCTTGAACTCTTTCAAGTAAGCTCTCAGTACTGCTAACAGTGTGGTGTACTTAAAGTAATTTTGCAGTCACTTAGTTCGATCTTGTGGTATACATTATGGGTCGCTAATAAATAAATCAAGTCTGTAAAGGAAAGGAGGAGGACATTTTTCTGACGTTAAACTATATGGGGGGGGGGGGGGGGGAGGAACTGAGTGACGTTACAGTGTTGTGAACATTTTGAGCATAGAAGTAAATTCTCTCACTGTTAAATAAAACAAGCAATAAAAATTTAATAACAATAAACTTTGAGATGCGCTGAAAATAAAAATAAATAAAACAAACGTGCCTTTATTAAAGATGGCAAGTTTGTTTTATTTTCATATTTTTAGTGCATTTAAAAACCTTTTACTATAAGATAAAAGCTGTTGTTAAATATTCGTTTCATTTTCCACTTTTTATTAAATCGTTCTAAACCAAGTTGACATTCTATAGGCTAAAAAGAGATGCCTGCTTGCTTATGCCTTAAAGTTTTGTTGTAGTTGGGGATGGAATCAAACCAAATTCTCCTCCACCAGGTACAACGCGATGAGCAAAAGAGAAAGGGCCATTGCTGTAAATCTATGGGAGATTAAATGGAACGCTTTTTTAGACAAAAGTCTTCGCAAATGGCTTCCCTGGACCCAGAAATGAAATCATGGTCAACAAAAATGTTGTAATATTTTTCGATTTTTTTATTGATAATGACTACAATTAAAATAGTTGTTACCAATTTTTTTTTATTCCTTGTTTCTATAATAATGAGAAAAAAAATGTTTTACGCGAATGACTCCTAACTCCAAGATAATTCACTTTAATAATAATATACAAAGAGACGTTGAGTTTCCTGCAATGTTTTTGTTTGAAACAGCAGGTTCCTTCTTGGGTGGCGTCCCCTTTTCAAAGCGCCAAGTGACTGACGCCCCCTAGACATTTGAAATAGGCTTTTTTTTTCAAAAGCGCAACCGTTTTATTTTAAATTATGTTATAAAATTAACTTAATACGAAAGTTGAAATTGCATGTAATTAACCAGCTTCAAAATTCGCTGGTAAATTTATTGTTTATTTAACTCTAACCACTTCCTTAACTATCCAAAAGTCAATGGCATTGGTACATTTAAGAGAGACAACCCAGATAATTATACTACTTTCTTAAGTTACGTTTCTTTTTAGTTTTACTTAATCACATATCACCACACAAAAAAATATCGTTTGATGTTATGTTAATTTTCACATACAACCAGGGGCGTAGCGAGGGGGGGGGGCGGGGGTGCGGACCGCACCGGGTGACACCATTTAGGGGGGTGACACCAAGGCAAAAAATAGCAAAATATATAGAGAAAAACTCGAGGGGGGGGGGGGTGCAAATTGAAAGTTTGTCCCTGGGAAGGGTCTCTATGCCTCTGGGGGGGGGGGGGGGGGGGGCGACACCATTAAGTACCGCACCGGGTGACACTCGACCTCGCTACGCCACTGCATACAACCTAATACTACATTAATTTTTTTCCTGTTTAAGAGGAATTAATGTATTTAAATTATAATATTACAGTACATTCCGAACGAAAAGATTAAAAACAATAGCCAAAATAAACGAGATGTGGGTCAATTGTGAGCTAAATTTAGAAGCTTTGTTTGTGTGCATGTCAGGCTTAGCTTCGGCTGCGTGCACATCTCCAACAAAGATTTCCCATTTGGTCTGCCATACTTCCATGGCCGTCTCTTTTTGAGCCGGGCCCAGTGAACTGTACCTGTTCCAAACGACAAAAAAAAAAATGACGCTTCTAAATAACCACTTTAACTTCTGCAACAAAGAAAGTCTCGGTTTGATTACTTGACTAAATCCCTCAGGACGTCCCTGAGTCTACTCAGCCCTAATATGTACCTAACTCACTGTATGGAAAGAAAAAAGTGCTAAATGACGTTTCTTTAAGTGGCTGAGGTCGCACTAACAAGCGTAACAGTGATCAACCGGCCCTTTAGAGTTACTTAAATACCACAAACTTATTTGGTTAAAGTGTAATGGTGTCGATATTACGGTACCGACTGATGATTAATTAGAATTGGTAAATGTATCGATACTTTAAATAATGTGGGGCTACTTCAGGAATCGTCATCCGTTATTAATCCTTTTTATTAATGGATTCTACCTATAATACAATCAAAGCCACGTTAAAGTTAACATTAGTATCACCACTGTACATAAGAAGCGAGACTAAAGTTAACATTAGTTCCCCCTCCCCCCTTGTATATGTGGATTCTCGCTAAAGTTAACATTAATTTTTATACTTATAACTGTAGGGCTACAATTTAGAAGTAATGTTATATATTTATTTTCTGAGTCTTTTTAAAATTTTGATTAACGATTTCTTTATGCTGTTGAAAGAGCCACACTGAATAATTCAAAGAGTTTATGCGGCTCCAGGGCTACATGTGCTTTTTGGCAGCTCCGATCCCGTCAAAGGGCCCAGGATTGTTAGACTATGATTGTCTGGCGTTCTGATGATTGTTGTTTTACAGATTCACAAAAAATAAAATCACCACCCACTGTACACACATTATAAACACGGTATGAGGATCTTGTGCTGTCAGAAGGCGTTGGTACCAGTGTTTCTTTCAGACTTTTTCTAGTAAGCTCATTACAGCATCGATCGATCTTGGCGGCCCACCAGGATTATTTCCTGGCGGCCCACCGGGATTATCTCCTGGCGGCCCACCGGGATTATCTCCTGGCGGCCCACCGGGATTATTTCCTGGCGGCCCATCGGGATTATTTCCTGGCGGCCCACCGGGATTATTTCCTGGCGGCCCACTGGGATTTTTCCCGGTGTCGTGGCACCCCAGTCCGGCTCCAGTTGAATGACGTGTACGCGTGACGTCACAAGATGTATGCGCGTCAGGTGACGGTGACGTCACGGCGCGAGCGAGCGAACTTACCGTATGGAGTTGATGGCCAGTTGTTTGAGCAGCGTCAGGTCCGCCAGATCGCTGGACATGGCCATGAAGGTGACGTAGAAGTCATGTGACATGGGAGCGGCGTCCCACGTGGTTCGGTCGTCGGAGCTGATGACGACCGGCACGTTGTGGGCTATCAGCGCTGCCATTGGATGGTTACGTAAGTCACTGACCAACCGGAGAACCTGTAAAATATGTCTTTTAATTTTTTACTTCAATTCATGTTATAAAATTAAAATAAATTCTCGCTACTTGGAGTAAAAAACGAATGTGAGAATAAATGAGTATAAATGACTCTTTCTTTATCTTTTCCAGGGGTTCAGCTCAGAGGCGTAGCGACCCTTGCCGGCGCCCGGGGACAAACTTTTCGATTTGCACCCCCCCCCCCCCCTCAAGATTTCGATTTGCACGCCACCCCCTTCAAACTTTCAATTTACATCCCCCTCAACCTTTCAATTTATTTTTCCAACCCATTTTGGCGCCCCCCCCCCTCGCTACGCTACTGTTTCAGCTTAACCCTCTCTATTGACGGGTGCTCACGTTGCAGATGAAGTAGAGTTCATCTGTTTTTCTCTGAGTAAGCTCTATGAAAAGGTAGTGTTGCCGGCTCAACATTCCCCGACTAAAGCAGTGACCATCAGAGCCGATTGGCTCGGGTTATTGTAGGTTGTCTCACAGTTTCTTTCAGACTTCTTTCTCCTGGGGGATAATCCCCCCCCCCCCCCTTTCCCCGAAGAAATGCCTGAAGAAACTCTGTTGGCTCAGAGTTATTGTAGGATGGCTCAAATAAACAATCAGAGCCGCATTGGCTCGGGGTTATTGTAGATTGGCTCACAGTTTTAGACTTCTTTCTCCAGGGGGATAACCCCCCCCCCCCCGACCCCCCAGAAGAAATGCCTGGAAAAAAAAACACTGTTGACTCGGGGTTATCGTAGATTGGATCAAATGGACAAGTGTTTACCTGGTTTGAAATGGGCTCGACCTCTATGGCTATGTCCTTTTGTCTGATGAGCTCGAGGTACCTGGGGTGTTTGCTTAGAGTCAGGGCGTGGCCCACACGAGAGGCGTTGAGAAGGATGGCATCGGCCAGGTTATGGCCAGTCTTGGTTCCCTGCCAGGCTGAGCCATAATAGTGGGGGGGGGGGGGGGGGGGAGGGGGGATTAGAATTACCGGATTTGCGATACAGAAACAATCATTGTGATTTTAAATTAAACGATTGTAATAAGGGCTAAAATGTTTCATGGAATTCATCTTATAATATGTTTAGGCTTTTGCAAGAAATGTTTCTTTTATAAAAGCGGTTATTACTCTAGATATTAGAAACATCTTCGTGAATAAAGCTTTTTTGCTAGTGGAAAATTTGTTTCTATGTCTTTTAGTTTTATTTATTGTAAGCATATTATTATTTTGTTTTATTTTTTAGATACTACTAACTAATATTATACATTTTTCTTTGCCTCTACCTCTAATCCTAAACTATACAATTTCTACTAAACACAACCTGGTACTGACGGACATTTTCTTTGTCGAATGCCGCCAATAATCTACAGTTTATTTTAATTAAAAAAAAACAGTACCCGATTTCATCTAATCTATAACCCCTATATATATATATATATATATATATATATATATATATATATATATATATATATATATATATATATATATATATATATATATATATATATATATATATTCAGCACCTAAATGTTTGAAATCTACTTAGAAAAATAAAACGTACATGTTTCCCCGGCATGGAAGAAGTACGGCAGCTTGTAGGGCGGGTCTTGTCTGGACGGGTACAGTAGAGCCTCGCTGTAGTAGGACAGGGGGTTGTAGAGAGCCTCGTTTCCAGACATATCAAAGCCCGCCATCAGATCTGGGTACTTCCGGTGTAGTTGCATTGTGGTTTTTATCTCTTCCAAAACCACGGATACATTTCGGAACCTGAGGAGGGATTTATTAAAAATATGACCATACCTCAAGGTAAAAAAAATTCTTGTCCCAGTATAAGGATATTGGAAAAATATTCAACGACATCAACTGCTGACCGGATGTGGCCCGCAGGTTGTACAATGTCGAACACTGTTTATGTTGATGAATACATTGTTTTGTATTTGAGTTAACTATCAACATTCTCCCAAAGAGGATGTTGCCTATTATTGATTTCAGTAAAAGCATGTATAAGCAAAACAAATATTATAGACCTCATATGACAGGACAGGAAAACTGTCAGTTCTAAATACTACACCAATTGAATTATTTTAAAACTAACGTACTACATACATACATCTAAGTCGTTAATTACTTCGATTTTTAAAACGTAATATATACTATGGCACTAAGTTTTAAATTACTATTTAAAAAACTATCATTAATAATTAAGTTATACTCTTCACTTGCCTTATACTATTAATAATGACCTTGACCCCATAAAAATCAGGGTGCTTTTTCTTGAAATCCTCGGCGACCTGCTCCACAAGCAATACACCAAACTCCATGTCATACTCGGTACCGTCTAGTTCAAAAAGCTGTGGTTGCATGGGAAATTTTATATATGTACACACATATATATATATATATAATCTCTATGTACTCACCTAATCGAATGTCCCCCTAATCTCCAAGTACTCACCTTGTCAAATGTCCCCCTAATCTCTATCTACTCACCTTGTCAAATGTCCCCCTAATCTCTATGTACTCACCTTGTCAAATGTCCCCCTAATCTCTATCTACTCACCTTGTCAAAAGTCCCCCTAATCTCTATCTACTCACCTTGTCAAATGTCCCCCTAATCTCTATCTACTCACCTTGTCAAATGTCCCCCTAATCTCTATCTACTCACCTTGTCAAATGTCCCCCTAATCTCTATCTACTCACCTTGTCGAATGTCCCCCTAATCTCCAGGTACTGAACATTGGCCTCGTAAAATTCTTCCATCGTCTGCCACAGCATGTCCCGGTAGATGGGCACGTGATACAGCAGGTAGTGGACCTACACGGGGAACATCAAGATATAACTCTACACGATGTAACAGTCACAGATGTGCAGGTTTTAGCACGTGCTACTGCTAATCTAAGAATAGTTGTGCATGTAGCGTGACAGAGCTATCTCCACAACTGTTACTACATCTCACCTGCCCGAAGTATCGGCCGAAGCGGACCCAGGCGGCCTGGTTATCAGCAAATGTCAGGAGCGGGTCAGTGGCCACGAGGCTGAGGTTTTGTTTTAAACTGCAGATATATTTAGACCAGGGAGATTGCATTTAATTGATACAAGATAGATTTATACCATTCTTCTTTTTAAAAGGAAATTATTTTGAAATAGGAAATAGGTTCAATCAAGAAGATTCGTGGTTTTTCTTTCTAAATATTTAAAACAAAAGTGTTTAATTAATCGTGTTGTAAATATTTCGGTCCACATGTTTACATAATTAAAACAACGAAACAAAGCTGACCTCAAATCGAAAGCTGTGACGTCACCAGACAAACGTCTTTCTTCCCTCACCAGCTTCCACTCACAGCCTGGGGGAGAGACACGGGAAGTTTATTACTACATGTTCTCTTTGTGAACACAATGGCGTAGCTAGGTGGAGCGAAGGGGCGGCCGCCCCCGGCTATAATTTTTTTTTTTCAAAAAATACAACATAGAATGCGGTAGTATCGAGTGGCTACATCTCCGTGTGAACATCCAAGTCAAAATGTACACCATCATGTTAGGGAGCTGGTTCTTACTGGTGTCTACGGGGATTTTTTTTTCAAATTAAATTGTGTTTTTTTTTAGTTACCCGAAATGACCTATAACTAGTCAAATATTCTTCTCTCGCGGCGTGACCTACGAAACACATCAACTACTGCATCTGTAGCTTGACCAGCAGGTTCGAGAAAATACTGAACTTTAATGATTTACTGTTACATCTGTCGACTCACCCTTCCCTCTGATAAATTTTGTACACGCAAGTTATAAGGAGTTTATAATTTTGAGCTTTAATAGAACACTTTGAAAATTAAAATATATATATTCATAGTTTAAAAATAAGTATTTACCTGGTGTTTTGTACGTGCTGTTAAACACACGGAAGACGGTGTTGCCGTGGTGGTTGAGGCACATGTAGACGTTGTCCCGGTAGGTGGCGTTTTTTATGATCCAGTCCAAGCTGACCATTGACTGGTCGTGGATGTGAAGCGCCGCTCCTAACACGGGGAGAAGAGTTTTGTTTGCAACAAATGAAGGTGTTGCTTTCTAGGATTGTAAACAGTTTTGATGACATTTAACTTAAACATCGGAAGGTGGGGGTGTCAGTAAAATAAAAATGATTTCTTACTAAATTAACCTGTTTTTACTAGAGGAGCTATGGAATATGAACACAGTTGAGATAGATAAACGTACGAAATGTTTTGCTCATTTCCAAACATGGTATTTCCAGTGTTTTTTTTCAGACTTTTTTCTCCGGTGGTGCACTTGATATTTTCGGGGGGGGGGGGGGGGGGGGGGGACGACAATATTCTTCGGGGGGCGGACACTGGTAAAAGTATATGTTTTCTATATAAATTCCATTTCGTTCGGGGGGGGGGGGGGGCGCCCCGAAGAGATGCCAGGAAGAAACTCTGGGTATTTCCATCCCCCCCACCCCTAGTTTTCCAAAAATCGCCCTCTCTCATCTCTCTCTCTCTCTCTCTCTCTCTCTCTCTCTCTTGTGAGAAAATGTGCTCCTTAGCAGATAATTATTTTTAATACTAGTTTCCAAAACTAGAGATTTTTTTTTTTTATTCTGTGAGATCGAAAGTAACTTTGTAACTGTGTGTTTTTTTAACAATTTTATTTTCCTAAAGTAATCGGGAGGAAATATTTAAACTGAAGTCTCTTAACAAGCCCAACCTGACATTATCAATAAGACTATAAGAGATTTCACTTTCGAGAATTTATAATGATGTAACAGTGATAATTTGATGAATTGGATTTTTTTTCTTTTTCTTTTAAGTAGTTAATATGTCACGGTAAATAAACTTTTAAAAAAGAAATTTTGATTACCGGAGAAGCAATTAGATAAAACTTTAATGACACATTAATCAAGCAGTAAATCAGAGTAATCACGCTGTGGCAAACACTTATATAAAATCTTCATTTAAAAGTTGTTGTAATATATTGTTAAAACTATGGAAAGCCGTGTTATCATTTTTGTGATTTTTAATGAACGTACTAATCGATGAGTTGAGCGTGTTTCGCTTACCCTTCGGCATGCGATGGATCAGTTCAAACATGGCCGTCTCTTCTATCTGTTTCCTAGAGCGGTAGAAGCTTAAGGAGGGAACAAACACAGTGCGGTTTTTTCCGGCTTGATTCTATCACGTGCTGTTTTTCCTGCAGCGAAAATAATATATGGTGTCCACATACATAAGCAAATACCTACGTACACACAGACTTTTTCAGATTTCCTTTTTTCAGGGAAGCACTTAAAATTTTCGTAAGGGTGGGGGGGGGGGGAGGCTAAGTTGTCCGCAGAAGGAAGGAGACATCCCCCCTCCACCCCCCTCCTCCCAAGGAATGCATGAAAGAAACTCTGCAAAGCCGGTTTAAGTTTTCCTAGAGAACGGATGTAAATAAAAATGCGGCTAAAAATAATAAACACGTGTTTAAAGTGTTATTAAGGACTTTCAAAAATGATTTATGTAAACGGTTTAGGATAAAATTTCACATTAGTTAACCTTCAAGCTACTGGTATCGCCTATAACATTATAGTTAGAGTTAGGATAAAGGTATCGAAGCTGGGTAATCTGCAACGGAAATTCGAATATGCTGGTACCGAAAAATACAATATGAAAATGTGTTTTTCAATTGAGCTTTTTAAGAATTATACATTGATTTTAAGATAGTACTGAAAGTTTGCTATTTGCTAAATCAAATACTGTCCTCTTTCTTGCATTAACCGTCTGTTTACAGTCTTTTAATGAATCAACTACTGTTCGCTTACTTGCATTAGCCGTCTGTTTACAGTCTTTTAATGAACCAACTACTGTCCGCTTACTTGCATTAGCCGTCTGTTTACAGTCTTTTAATGAATCAACTACTGTCCGCTTACTTGCATTAGCCGTTTGTTTACAGTCTTTTAATGAATCAAATACTTTCCTCTTACTTGAACTAACCGTCTGTTTAGTCTTTTAATGAATCAACTACTGTAAACTTACTTGCATTAGCCGTCTGTTTACTGTATTTTAATGAATCAAATACTGTCCTCTTACTTGCATTAGCCGTCTGTTTACTGTCTGCTCTTGTACCGACAGCACCAGACGTCCACCAACTCGCATGTGCTCATCTTCAGCAATTAGGTCATCTCGCATCGTCAGGTACTGGGACGTCTCCAGCGGGAGGGAGGAGCAGGGGGGTGCTAACGCCATGATGACGTAGCACATGATGCCCAACAAGAAGTGCCCGGGCACCATATTCAGTTGTCTAATTTTGTTGGATAATAAGTCTGATTAGTAATAGAACACATTTAGTTCCACAGTGGCTTAAGATATTGGCCTACACCAAGAGATACACTTAATGACAAGATAGGCAAAATTTATACGCTTTACATCATGTAGATATTGTACTGTGTAAGCTCCAAGGTTGTCATAAGGTTCATGTTGAAAAAATTAATCATTAAACAAAATTTTAAAATGTCTAATTACGTGAGAATAAATTAAACAAACCTTGTTTGTGCTACCATCCACATCATCTAGGCCTACTATACTGTATGTGGTACACGGTGGATTCGGTTGTGTTTTCGTACCATTACATCCGGTACTCGGCAAAAATAGATCGACTTACATTGTATTGTGTAAGAAACGCAGTTGTATTTTGCGAGCCACTTAAAACACTTAGCGGTTGCAACATGTGAATGGGAAATTTTGCATCCTGTTTCAGTGGTTTGTTGGTCTGTCTGTCTGTCTGTCTGTCTGTCTGTCTGTCTGTCTGCCTGCCTGCCTGCCTGCCTGCCTGCCTGCCTGCCTGCCTGCCTGCCTGCCTGCCTGTCTGTCTGTCTGTCTGTCTGTCTGTCTGCCTGCCTGCCTGCCTGCCTGCCTGCCTGCCTGCCTGCCTGCCTGCCTGCCTGCCTGCCTGCCTGCCTGCCTGCCTGCCTGCCTGCCTGCCTGCCTGCCTGCCTGCCTGCCTGCCTGCCTGCCTGCCTGCCTGCCTGCCTGCCTGCCTGTCTGTCTGTCTGTCTGTCTGTCTGTCTGTCTGTCTGTCTGTCTGTCTGTCTGTCTGTCTGTCTGTCTGTCTGTCTGTCTGTCTGTCTGTCTGTCTGTCTGTCTGTCTGTCTGTCTGTCTGTCTGTCTGTCTGTCTAAGCGTGGGTGAGTGATAAGTGCCGGGATTTTTCAAGGGAGGTGTGGTGACAAAAAAAAACTTAGGGCGCACTGATGGATTTAACATGTGTCAAGATCTGACACACGCCCATCATTGAAACAACACATTCAACACATGTGTAGACAGTATATGAGTAAAGGGCAGGCACTCGTCTACACGGTGTCGAAAAGACTTAACCGAAGTTTTACCACCGAGTCCTTTAAGTAATTGCTCAAACGATTGACAATAATAATTTATAAATTGTAAAATAACTGCCCGCACACCCTGTTACCAGCTAATGTCACTTCTTTTACAAATAACTAAATATATCTAAATTGTTATCGTCAACGTTATCAAGTTCTCGTCGGCTTTGATTCCCTTCGATACTCTTTACAAACAAATCCCGTTTTATTACGATCTATTAAAAGAACCGTTCCATTGTCTGTTTATCGTCGCGACACTTAGCCAGATTTCTGCGCGTCATGTGACTTCTCTGAACTGTTTGCTGATGTTCCAACTTGATAAGTTTTTTTTTTTTTTTGTAGCTGAGTTAGTTTATCGATTTCATTATTTAGTTCTATTCCAAGGTAAATAATTTCCAGCGCTTCTTCAAGATTAGATAACTTCAATTAATACAACACGCAATTGGTTTTTGGTCTAGAGTTTTAAAACCTGCCACAAGTAGTTAATCAACATAACAAAATTTAACGAAAGTTAGAATTACTTGATTTATTGTTTAATGTAGTTTTTTTAGCCTTATGAAAATCGAATTTTTAATGAACTAAATTTGAAAGGCGTACATAATAAAAGTAAATTGGGGAAGGTTTTTGTATTGTAATTTACCGAATATAATGAATTGCATTACAGTTAATCACTGACAAAGACCTACACGAAATTTCGAAGGCTAATTACAATAATGACGTCTGCTGGTAATGTGATTGAAAAGGATGAGTGAGGTGGGGGAGGGGTGTCCCCAGTAGCGTACGCAGGGGGGGAGCAGGGGGAGCGGCCGCTCCCCCTCTGGCCATTTTCAGCAAAGTGGCGCCTTTTTGGAAACTTTTTTAACTCAAAGTTTTAAACAATGATATTTGTTAAAAAATTATTTTTTTCGGCACATCTATGTAAATCACAAGATTTATTTTCATGCAGCAATTAATCATTATTGTACCCGTCTAGTAGTTTCTACGTTTACGTATTAACAGCTGCATCAGTTTGCCATTCTTAAAATAACCATTACGATGCATTGCAAAGTTTAAAAAACCTCTACGGGTAGTATTACTTGGCAAGAGGGGTGTTAAGTTCAAGGCAACTGTATAATGTATGTGCCTACGAATAATTGAATTAGAAAATGTTATACATAAAACTTCACACATAATTACTCTATATATACAGTTTGAATCGTGTGATTAATTTTTAAAAATTACAATACAGAAACAAATACAACTGATGTGGCACCTCTATTTAAATTTACATATGAGCAAACTGCGTAGTGGTGGGGAAATTTTGACAAGGTCAACAACGTCATCACGATGAATTAGTAGTATTCTTACAGTTTGGGCGATAGTGATTACGATTACGAATTGTATGAAACAGTTACAACCCCCTCCCCCATGGACCCCTCTGTAAAAAAAAATATTGTCATAATACCACTGCTACTTATTTAAATCTATTTCTATAATATATATTTGTGTAATATATATTTGTGTAATATATATGTATGTTTAGAATAGTCATCTAAAAACTGACGCTATGTTCACTCTGAGTTGGTTATCTTTCCCCCCCCCCCCCCTTCTCACCACCACAATTATGTAGAGCGACATTAATTTCACACCTTGTTATACACTGGGTTGGATAATCGACCTAAAGTGACCGGAAAGTGGTAAATGAAGTTGAACCCACCCCCCCCCCCCAACCCACCCTGAACTGATATGTAAATGCTTAATGATGTACCAAAGTACTATGCCGCCTGAAAATTAGCTTTTTAAACGTAAAACTTTGTGAATATTGTTTTTGCAATTACCAGTAAAAAGGTGTGTGAGCAATACAGTGATCTAACCCATACCTATCACTATGTTAAAAAATGATCTTTAAAGAACACAAAGAAGCAGTAGTTAATTAAAAATATATGATGAACTAAAAGACCAATGTTTAGTTAAATGTAGGCAGCTATTACGAATGTTTAGCTGTTTTTTGGAAAAGCGTGGTTTTATACCAACTCTGATTTTAATAACTTTCATTATGCTGTAACACTTTTGCATTTATGCTGACGATATATTAAATTCTGATTATAGACAAAAACATTTTGTAAACACGAATAGTGTTAAGCAATTTCATTATATTCTAAAGTAATTATTTATTTGTTTTGACATTTATAATTAAATGTGTAGATATATACATATTTATAATAAGAGTGTGATTATTTCCCCTATTTCACTTGTCTTAAATAGTTTCCCAGGAATTATTATGTAAGAAATTTTTTTACAAGAATTACAGAACATATTGTGTTACGTTCATTGTTTTTGGTTGTGGTGTGTGTATATTTGCTTTGTTTTTGTTTAGATTGATACTATTTTTGTTTTGTCGGCCTACATTGTGTGTTTTTTTTTATTTCTTCAGAGTGCTACTTTCAATTATTTTACATCATAGCGAAGTAATGACATATAGCTAATAATTTATATATATATATATATATATATATATATATATATATATATATATATATATATATATATATATATATATATATATATATATATATATATAACATACGTATAAAGAACGTGTTAAAAATTCGGCGCCTTTTTTTGCTCTTTTCGCTCCCCCTACAACGAAAACCTGGATACGCCTCTGGGTGTCCCAGGTAGTTAAGAATCAGCTTCACTTAGTGTTTTTTTAAATTACTTTCCTATAGTTGCTAAGCTTTTTACACTTGACGGCAATCGATAATTATTTTTAAGTTATGATAAATTGTATGAACAATTTTTTAATGATAAAAAAAAAGAAACTTTTTACTTTTTACTAAAGAGCCAAATGGGTCATTTAAAATCGTTGCCTCGAATCAATCTGTTGATGAATACCCGATTATCTTCTCTGAACTCTAGTTCATTTCTTTTCAAAGGCCCTTCTAACCCCCGTCACAAACAAAGCAATTTTAGATTACAAAATGGGAACTTTTATCGAAATGTTTCCGATATTTGGCGGTACTCAAACCAACAAGTACAAAGGCGATTCCGATTCATACAAGATCATTGATGATAGTAATCACAGTTCAAAGTTGAGTTGGGTCGATGTCAGTTCACTGTCATATACCAGTAAAACGGTCGATGTCAGAAAACTGTCAGATGGCAGTAAAACTACAAATGTCAGACCAGTGTCAATTGGCAGTAGAACGACCGATGTAAAGTCCACTATCAGATGGCAGTAAAATGACGGATGTCAGATCACTGTCAGATGTCAATGCAACAACTGTTGTACCAGCGAAAGACCCCCCCCCCCCTCCCCCCTACCTTAGTTACTCCAGGGAATCCGTCTATCGTAGGTTCAAAATCTCTTTGAAGGTCGAGATCCAGTTTTGATCCTAACTTCGTTAATTCGTTTTGTAAAAAAAATATATATAAAAAAATTTTTTTTTAAAAATCCCAAAAAAAAACCCCATCAGTTGCACAACTTGTTCGACAAAGTTTTGTTGAATATAGGCCTATCTACCTTATGAAAAAAAAATTGTCGCAAATCAACATCAAATTGATTTAAATGCATAAAATCTCTCAATCATTTTCATAAGCCGACGATTTTTTTAAAGATTTTTTTTCCTCAGTTTACTTAAACAACACATTTTACTGGCCTAATTTGACGCTGTTCGATGCCAATCCTAAAATCGATAATTGAATTCCAAAAAAGCTGGTTGTCACCGCCTCTCGCGGGGACGCCATGTAAAGTGGTGTATAAAAAGTACAAACCTTCCAGCCGTGCCAGAGTTCCGTTGATTAGGACTGACCGATAACTTGGTCTCCTAGATCTTTTTAGTTTTACAGAGTTATCGGACTTATAAAGGGAGATAGCTTTGTATTTATCTTTTTAATTTATTTATTAGATTCACACTGTAGGTAAAATTAAAATTATTTAACATTGACGTTTATTGATTTTCTTAAACTAAATTTTATAAATATAGTATCAACTTAAGGAGAAGATTTCAATAAGTTTACATTTTAGTCAGAATAATTAATATTCCCTCTTAAATTCAAATCTCATTACTAAATTTTGTATTGACGAGCAAATATTATTTCCGAAAAAAACATTAAGTTTTAAGATTAAAAGTTGTGTTGAAAAAAAAACGTTTATAAAATGACGACATCTATATCTGTAAGTGAAATGAATACACCCAGCGATTTGACTATGACCACTTATTATGGTGATGATTATACGAGTCATGCCCCTTTGCAATCTCTGGATATGAGTACCGCAGAAACGCTGCACTACGTGATGAGCGCGGTTGTCGGCCCCATCGTTTGCATCATCGGGTTTGTGGGCAACGTTCTTTCTGCCGTTGTCTGGACTCGCCCGGGGATGTGGAGCTCCACGGGACTTTACCTTACCTGCCAGGTGAGAGGCTCATTTACATGTAACTCCTAATCAAGTGACATCATAATAGTTTCTGGTTAGAGACCTACGCGCTCACTATTCGTCAAACGTTTTCACAAATCACTCCATTCCTACTAAAAGTGAAGACGTAACCATAAAGTTTTTCATGATGTTTATGTTTAAAATGTACATAGCACACGCTATGCCGTATCCCCCCACGCAGTTTCTTCCAGGCATGTCTTCGGGGGAGCGGAAAGTCTACCGCCCCATCCAGTAGCGTAGGGAAGGGGGGGGGGGGACATATGCCCCGGTCGCCGATCTTAGGGGGCGCCAAAATGGGTTGGAAAAATAAATTGAAAGGTTGAGGGGGGTGCAAATCGACAGTTTGAGGAGTGTGCAAATCGAAATCTTGAGAGGGGTGCAAATCGAAATCTTGAGGGGGGTGCAAATTGAAAAGTTTGTCCCCGGGCGCCGTGAAGGGTCGCTACGCCTCTGGCCCAACCCCCCAAACGAAATGGAATTTAAATAGAAAATATATACTTTAAACGGTGTCCGCCCCCCCCCACAGGAAATTTTAGTCTCCCCCTCTCCCCTGCTCCCCCCCCCCCCCCCCCCCCCAAAAAAAAAAAATATTCTCAAGTGTCCCCCCTCACCCTAGGAGAAAAAAAGCACACACTGGAAAAAGTATGTTTTCTATACAAATTCTATTTGCTTTCTATCCCCTCCACCCTCAAGAAATCCCTGAAAGAAACTCTCCTATCCCATAAAAGTGTGACATCATTTATGGACAACTCACTTCAGTTTTAGTCGCCTGTAATAGACTCAAATATCTAGCTCTATATCTCTGTTCTCATTTTTGCATTATAATAACACTGAATTGAAACATATTAATTTTTTTTTAAATTGTAAAGAGGTCGAATAATATTTTGACGTAATTTAATGTAATGGAGTCGAAATGCTTACGTGACCAGGCGGTGGCAGGTGTCGGCGTCCTGATCATGTTCCTCCTGTGTGACTCCCTGCAAGCCTGGGCGCCCAGCCTGACCTACAGCCCCGCCTACGGACAGCTGTTCAGCTACGTCAGCTACCCGCTCTACTACATCACGGGGGTCCTCTGTGTGTGGATCACTGTGGGGGTCACGGTGGATCGTTACATCATGGTGTGTTGGATCACTAAAGAAAAGGTAACATTTTGATTCGTGCAGTTATAGTACAAAAATATGTGTATGTGTAAAGCCTTCGTATGTTGTACTACTGAGCTAGTACTTTGTTGACACACGGGGTTCATTAAATATTGTAACACACTCCCTACGTCATATATATATTATATATATATATATATATATATATATATATATATATATATATATATATATATATATATATATATATATATATATATATATATATATATTGTAGTCTATGTGTGGGTATATTCTTTATGCATTACTTCAATATTTATCCAATCATGAAAATTAAATTCCTCAAGAGGGGTGCAATTTGGTGCCCAGAGTTCCCCTGAGGCTTTCTTAGCACCTGGGATCTGTTGATTGGGCATCGCGCCCAGGGTGTCAGAGGTACCACTTGATTCAATTGTAAAACCTCACTAGGCGCATCCGCCGGCGCCCCGAGGGTCGTGAGACCCGCAGTACCCCGTGAAGACTATGGCGGCTTCGTTCTATTTAAAGATTGCCATACACTATGAATACATTGGGCTACTTAAATTGTTCACTAAAATGAATCACGCACAACCTCGGGCAATCCAACGGTCGAGAATCGGGAGCGCCCCGGGTTAGTCATGAACACAATGATGTTTACATCGAAGCCCCTGTCTCCTGGGCGGTCACTGAAGGTTTGGTTTTTTCCTAATGCTATAATCAAGTTAATGCTACGATAGCGATTCATTTCTACACCTTTCATCCGATCGCCATAAAATTTTGGGAAGTTGATGATAAACTCCAGGGAAGGTTTCTTCAGGGAAAAAATATTTAAATTTCGGAGGAACGGCGCCCCGACAGGGTGCAATTTGGTGTGCAGAGTTCCCCAGCGGCTATCTTAGCCTCCGGCGCCCGGTCAGTTTGGTGACCGAGCGCGGCACGGGCTCCCATATGAGCACTATTGCGCCTACATTCATTTTAAACAGCACCCTACTCCACTGACACGTCGGGGCACTACACTCAATGACTAGAGGAGTCGCACCGGGTGCTCACGCGGTAGTGTAACCAGTGGCTCCCGAGAGTGCCCCGCAACCCCATAAACCTGGACGGCCGTGTGTTCTACCTCATCCTTGCGGGGGTGATTGTACACTGAAGGTCTGGGATTTTTCCTGATGCAATATGCATCTGTTGTTACAACGATAGTGATAGGTTTGGAGAGGAAATAGGTCACGCGTCTAAGAATGCATCATTGGTAGGAATTGAATATTATCATTTCGTGTGTTTGAATTTATTTTCATTTCAGATCGCAGCAACACGATATATATATATATATATATATATATATATATATATATATATATATATATATATATATACATATATATATATATATATATATATATATATATATATATATATATATATATATATATATATATATATATATATATATATATATATATATACATACATTGAACTCCTCGCCATATTTAAATTCTGTCTGTGCAACTGGTAGCAACAACATACTAAGGACCAGGATTGCTTTAAGACTTTTAGCTCTGCGAGGGGTGGGGAAATTATTAGGATTGTTAAATTTGATAATTAGATTCCTGAAAGACATACCCCTAAAGACTATATAGTCCAAAATACACACCAATTATTCTTGTAACCCCACAGATTTAAGAAAAGAGCATTGCTGTTGGTGTTACAGCATGTTTTCCTCTCCATTCCAGAGCCTCTGCAGTGAAGGGCGAGCCAAGCTCAGCCTCACTCTGATCACCATAGCCGTCACTCTGGTCAACATACCCAACTTTTTCTACTACACGCCCGCTACTTCGGACAGCAGTAACGGTGGCTACACGGAAAGCTACAACAGCACCAACGGTGGCTACATGGGACGTTACAACAGCACCAACGAAACGACAGCCAGGATGACAAGTGAGAAACAGCCAGGCTACAGGCTGTCTGGGTTTGGTGGCAGTCAGATGGGATTCACGTATGAGTTCTGGATTCACTGCATCGCTGTTCTACTGGTGCCTTGGTTCTCTGTGTTCTACATGAACGTGATGATCATATTTCAGGTAGGTCCAGGTGAACTTGATTACCATATGTCAGGTAGGTCCAGGTGAACTTGATTACCATATGTCAGGTAGGTCCAGGTGAACGTGATCATATTTCAGGTAGGTCCAGGTGAACTTGATGATCATATGTCAGGTAGGTCCAGGTGAACTTGATTACCATATGTCAGGTAGGTCCAGGTGAACTTGATGATCATATGTCAGGTAGGTCCAGGTGAACTTGATGATCATATTTCAGGTAGGTCCAGGTGAACTTGATCGTATTTCAGGTAGGTCCAGGTGAACTTGATCGTATTTCAGGTAGGTCCAGGTGAACTTGATTACCATATTTCAGGTAGGTCCAGGTGAACTTGATGATCATGTCAGGTAGGTCCAGGTGAAGTTGATCGTATTTCAGGTAGGTCCAGGTGAACTTGATGATCATATGTCAGGTAGGTACAGGTGAACTTGATCGTATTTCAGGTAGGTCCAGGTGAACTTGATAACCATATGTAAGGTAGGTACAGATGAACTTGATCGTATTTCAGGTAGGTCCAGGTGAACTTGATCGTATTTCAGGTAGGTCAAGGTGAAGTTGATGCTCATATTTCAGGTAGGTACAGGTGAACTTGATCGTATTACAGATAGAATGATATTTCAAACAAGGCATACTGAAACTTAATGCTATTTTGGATAATCTTTAGGCGAACTTGATGATATTTGAGATAAGTACATGTGAACCTGATATTGTAGGTAGAATCTAGGTAAACAAGAAATTTTATAATTGAACATAGCTTAAATCTGTCCAGATTATATATTTCTGGTTGATTGCTTACCCAACAATCAGTCTTATACCTCATCCACTAATATGCTCACTTACAAACCACTTACATCTCTCTCACAAATCTCCAACAAATGCTGCTGTTGCTACCCTTTTAAAAAAAGAAAGAGGTAAAAGTAAAAGCCTAGTTCACACACTATTCTCTCAGATCACACGGGCTAACAAACAAATGGCGGATAAAAAGACAGCCCATTCCATGGAGAGAAGCAAGAAGTCAGAAAACCAGATCACACGAATTCTGCTCAGCGCCACTTTTTCTTTTATCTTCTTCATGGGAGTCCAGTGCGTGGCCCAGTGCTACTGGATGCAGAAACCACAACGTGTAAGATATTAGTTGTAAACAATTATTTTTTTAAGTCGATTTTTATCTTGGGCTGTTAGGGAAATAATTTATAAGATACAGGAGTGCAGATACCTCACTCCACATATTTTAATTTTAGCTTATTGTCTTGCCGCTTTGTGTACTTTTTAATTGGCTATTTTCATTTTTTTAAATTTGGAAAGTTAAAAAAATGTAATTTAAATATGAAATTTTAATTATTTTCAAGTAGCTTTAGTTTAGGTTTGCTTTTTATTATGTTATTTCAAAATCTGTTGATTTTTATTATTGAAGTAAAAATGTATCATACATTTTTGCAATACGAATTTATCTACTTAAAGTTAAAGCAATGGATGCAATTATTTATAATCAAACTTATACAAGGCTGTTTTTTTTTCACAGGCTGATTGGCGTATTGTGTCATCTGCTTTTGCCTTTGGCAAGACCGGCATAGTTTTTACTTCAGCTTTAAACTTTATCTTCTACTGCCTTACTGGCAGGCGGTTCCGCAATGAACTCCTCAAGACTTTAGGGTTCTCCAGCAAATCTTTGAAATATTCCAGCCAGTCTGACTCGCCTACCTCCAGTACACAACACACTAATGTCCCAACTGATTGACTCTATGATCAATCAACAAGATAAACTAGACCAACTTCATGATCAGCAAGCTTAACTAGACCAACTTTATGATCAGCAAGACAAACTCCATGATCAACAAAATAAACTAGACCAACTTCATGATCAAGAAAATAAACTAGACCAACTTCATGATCAAGAAAATAAAGTAGACCAAGACAAACTAGACTGATTCAATGTTCAGCAAGCAAGATATAATATAATAAACTACTGGTTCACAAAGCAAGATAAACTAGACATGGTCCATGTGCACCAAATTAGATAAACTAGATCAAATCCATTGTCCCACATACTTCAAACAGTGAAAAAGACAACACTCACCAGTAACGAAATATTTATTATCATAGGTGATCTAAAAGAAAAAAAAAACAGAACCAAATAACAAAGGTTATTCAATCATATTTACAAATGTCCAAATTTAAGATAAACATGTACAAATAAGTATTTATATGATTAGTTATTTGTATAAAACAAAGTAGCCTATTAATTATCACACAGACTACTTAAAGCTATCACATTTACACAAGATGTTTTAATGTTGGAATAGATGCAACAAGTATAAATAGCCTTCAGACATTACACCAATAAAAATATCACAGGATTTGTTGTATCACACAAAGCAACTAACACCTAAGCCTAGTGATGACTGAAGTGATGTATACAGATTAAACAAGTCAACATCGACTGCTTAGAAAAACTTTAACAGCAGAGTTATTCAAGCAGTTCTTTTAGCTGATTCTACTCAATATAATTCTACATCTTGCTATATTTAGGTATTTTAAAATAAATTAAAGTTACATGAATCATTTCAGAACAAAGATGTTTTTGTAATAATTAGATTAATGCTTTTTTTATCATTGGTTGAAAAATATTAACTATAAACAAAAGTAATCTCTAGTAAAAAAAAATATAATTATACTCGTTTAACTAGAAATATTTTAAATGTTAGTTTACCTACTATCCTCATTACAGCATACTTTGCTACAAATAAAAGGATTAGTGTCACACGCATTGACAATAAATTACTATGTTTATCTTTGTAACAGCTGTTAAATGTAAACTGAAAGTAATCACAGAGAAATATAATTAAACTATCATATTAGTAGAGATAAGGCAGTATAGAATACCAGTATCAACTGCAAGTGTAAGATGGAACATTTTTCAATTTCCTGTTAAATTAAAATCACTATTTACAAATCATGTTGCTTCACATACAAATATAATTACAATGTCTAACTACAGTTAAACAGCTAGTTCTACTTATCCAGGTGAGTGGCTACACAAAGCCAGCAGCCTCCAGACCAAAATCTTTGATCAAACAGGTAGACATCCAGACAGGTGAACCATTAGAATCTGGGGATCCCGCCTGGAACAACTGTCTTGGTTGGGGTTTAGCATGGTTGGTTAGGTCAGGCTGGTCAATCATTTTACTTCTGTCCAGGTCATCAAGGAAATCTTTAGCTTGCTGCTGTAAAATAAATGCAATCAACACATCCAGTTTCCATTAACTAGATTAACTAATTTGTGCACTAAAACTAAAATCTATGAGTTAACAGTCAAAGTACTTAATTGAAAAATTACTTCTATAGCTCAGTGTTTCTCAAAATATTTTTTATGCATAAATAAGGGTGGTAACACCATTTTAAAATTTCTACCATGGGCAAAGTAGATAAAATATGAGAGTATTGCAACTCATTTTTAACAAATGGTAAAATGATGTCATCAATGATACAATTAGACAACCTGTAAATCTGCTTGGTGCGTCTGAAGTTCTGACAGAGGACGTGCCATGAGGTGACTAGCATGACCAGAGTGGTAGGGATGACTGTGAGACCTTTTCTCCTGAAACCCACATGGACCATCACTGCAGCCATCCCAATCTATGTTATCAGAAGACTGAGAAACAAAGAAAAAAGCTTTTTGTTTGTTTGTAATACATATTTGTAAAGTAAATTCCATTTACAAAGTTCTTATGGGGCTTGCCATGGGCTAAGTTCTTGTCAGCAAGACTACAAAACAGTCAAAAAAAATTATTAGGCTAATATTTATGTAAGAAATTGAATTTTTTAAAACAGCTTGTCATCCCCTCTCCTCATTTAAAAAAAAATTACCATAAATCCTGATGGGTTATCTGCCCTGTTACATGCGGAATTCAACGCTTCTTGAAAGTTGTACCTCGACTGAGCCAGAGATACACCGGTCCTGGTCACTGAGCTAGTCTTTTGTCTCGCATGAGAAGGACTCAGGAATGGGGCCCTGTAAGACCTGTCCATGTGGTGAAATGGTTTGGGTATAGAGCTGACATCTTGTTCAGTACCAAAAATGCACTGGGGTAGTTTTTGATTGTTGACATCAACATAAGCTGGCTGATAGCAGTGGTAGTGATGGTCATGTGGTTGATGATGATGGTGGTGATGGTGGTGGTCTGAGTACAGGCTTGGATTTGAATTCCCTATGGGACATGACAGTGGTGCGACTCTGTTGTGGGTGTATCTGAGAATAAAAGTATGAATTAAACTTTGGTTATCTCACAACCCAGTTATACAGCAATCACAGTAATTTATTCAGTAAATGTATATACAGGCCTACATTTTAAGCATAAATTAATGATTTATAATTAACAAAAATGAAGAGATGATGAGGTAAATGTAAACACCCTGCAGGCTCTGAGAAATCTAGGACTCTGGCTGCTCTGGAACCCCTCCAACTATCAGAGGATAAAGAACCCCTGGGTCCGCATGTGTTGACATCAGCTTTGGCTGGACCACAGCAGCGGTGGATGAAATGTTGATGGTCCGTGTATGGGTAATAGAAGCTAGGCTGAGATGTGGCTCCTGCAAAAGCACTGAATTTGACAAGATAACACTTACATTAATCTTTTAATTCATTTTATATTTAAATGATTAGAATAAAAATAACTACTGTAAAATGAATAAGAATAGTAATTTCTAAACAAATGAGAAAAACTGGGTAGAAAATGAAGATAACTAAACCTGTCTAGCTGTCTTAACCGTCTTTGTTCAGCTTCAAGTTGTCTTGCTGAAGCAATAAATTCATTATAACGAACTATTGACAAGCCGGAAACATCATCATCATCTTCACTGTCCCCAGAATCATCTTGATTCATGTTTATGTGAATTATTTCATCTTGCTCAGGTATGTCAGACAATAGCAGGTTGCTTGGCAAGGAGCTGAAGCCTCTATGCTCCTCCTGGCATCCGATGTTACCTTTATGGAATATTGCTCTAGGGCTTGTTTCTAAATGGGGCACCTTAGGAGGGTTACTCAACAGTGAGTGTTTATTTTCCCAATCTGGCTTGTATGGCCTGCAGGCTGACAAGGTTGAAGAACTAGTATCTGGCAACCCTTGATTTGACCTGGGTGTTTGTGGATAATCTGGTGAAAATACAAACAAAATCTTGGCTGCTTTTTAACAAGATGAAAAGGGGTGATGAACTATTGAATTTGACTAATTTGACAAGTCAAAATGGGCTCAAACCAGTAGTTAAAAATGGGAAGTGAGATATGACAAGTACTAGGTGAAACCAGAAGAATAAAATGTGAGAATGACTAGTACTTGAGTAACAAGTGGGATCTGACAAGTAGAGTAAAAAGTGAGATTTGACAAATTGAATATAACGTATGTTCTAAGCACTAGAATCAAAGATGGGATTTGACTAGTGGAGTAAAAAATGAGATCTGACCAGCCCTGATAGGTCTTTGACATTGGGTTAAGCTTTATCCACAAATTCTCTGAAACTGTTAATTCAGCACTTCATTTATCTATGCTTATGACCTTTGTGATGCTTACCTTGACAAGCAAATGTGGACTTGTACTGTTGGTCTTCAATTGGCACTTTTGACTTACAAGAGCTGGCAAAATGCAATTAATCATTCTTTAACATGATTATCAGAGAAGCAAAAATTAAGGCAGGAATTATTGAGCAATAATGTTGCATCAAAATTTTTCATGTCAAACTAAAAAGCACTGTAAATTAATTAATGTATATTTAATGTCATTTATTATTTTAAATAATTAAATGGAAAAAAAATACATATAAGAATATTACAAGCATTTTAAAAAACTCAAAAAAAAAAAGAGATAAACTTTAAAATAGTGGCATGCCATGTTTCAAAATAAGTGTAATACATCAAATACATTATCAATTTAAACAAAACATTTAAGAAGACAATATTCATGAAGGTCATAATATTCTAACTCAGTATATGATTGACAGATGGTTGCACGAGAAATTACTACCCATTTACCATTTATTTAAACATTATAATAACCATTTTAAAAAGGTCCAATAGACCAATGTTAATATTATGATAAAAAGCATGTTTAATTTATCCCATCAAGAAAATGCTATTATTTTTTTTAAATTTTCATGATAAAAAGCATGTTTAATTTATCCCATGCAATTATTTTTTAAAATTTTCATTCAAATAGTTGTTTTACATGTTTAACAAAGCAATGCATTATACAACATTGAAGCTCAAAAAAAAGAGAAAGGTATAACTTTCAACGACAACCAAGCAAAACTTGCAACGTTAATTAAAAACCTTTGTTTCAAAAGTTTCTGAAGATCACAGCATATTTCCATTTCTATATCTGTAAAATGATTACAGATGAAGGTTGTAATTTTGATTATGATTATCTTCAGCAAAATCACCAACTCTTCATCAGTATAATTTAATAAAACTTGAATATTGTGTGGTGAACATACACTTGACTCACCTCTATTGGGAAACAATTTGTCAAATTTAGGTTTTAATTCCTTCATTATTTTGTCAGCAATTTCTTGAATAGGGGGCTCCTATTTCAACAAAAAATACTTTAAAAAAAACTCAATCAAAACTATTTTTAGAATGACAACTCTGCTTTGATATTCTATTAAAAAATTAATAAGAATAATAAAGTAACAGTTAATTACTACATAGATAATAAAGATGTATTTCAAAAGTGTATATCAAACAATGTTAAACAATAAAATTAGCAATGAAAATTTTGCTCTATCTAAATGGTCTTCTCAACTTAATGTTACAGTTTAATAAAAAATAATACACTGCTTATTAATAGCTTTCTTACAGACATGAACAAACAGCCTGAACAAAAACACTACTTACAGGTTCCAGCATCTCCTCTTCTGGCAAGGGACTTACCACAGGAGACTCAGCACTGAAAGAGGTAGAAATTTTTTTTAAATTAATTTTAAAAACTAATTTTATTTATTTTATTCTGAAGTGAATTGCTAATTGAGGACTTGGACTTTGAAATTAAGCTAAATACATTAATAAAAAAAAACACAAAAAAAAAATATTTAAGATTTAAAAGTAATCTTGATCTGTACCTGACTTTTGATACTGATTTTGTTTTGCTATGCGATTTGACACCTGGATGAATAGCTGTATTGTCACCATCAGTTTGTTGTTTACTTAAGGCTGGTATGCTGACTACAGAGGTTGTGTGGGAACTAAGCAAAGGCAGAAACAAAATACATCTTAAATCTTGACATCAACACAATTAAAAAATTATCGAAGTAAAACTGCACATACTTGACAAATCAATTTTATGAAGCATAAATTATGATATAGCCTGTAATAGATACCCATCAATGGCATTCATTATATTTAAAATACTTTGGTAAATAACTGATGTTTATTAACCAAAGAGGGATGGTGTGGCCTAGTGGTAGAGCATTTTAGACAGCTAACCCGAAAGTTCAAAACCGGGTTCAAGTCAGTAGAAAATCCATGAGTACACCCAACTCTGATGGGTACCTAACTCACGTTAGGAAAAGTAACAGGTGGCTGGGCATAGTGCTGACCATACTATCCCTTCATATGCCGAGGTCACAGGAACAGGTAAACTCTACCTCACTTGCACCATGGACTGCCAAGTTTGAAAACATTTTACTTAACTTTACTAAACAAAAACTAATAAATTATCTACATTACCTACCTAGTAGCAGGTGGGTCAACTTCCATTACGTTTGAATTTTTACCTGGATTATCAGTATTATAAATAAAAGGTTTGATCATAATTAAATTTTAAAAAATAATATCACCTACACCTACTAGGCTTATATTTAGAATTTATAGTTTTGCTTTTGTGTGAAGCAAATGATAACTGTTTTATACAAATAAAAAAAAGCAGACCTGTAGTTTGGCCTTCATCTGCTTTTTGTGCAGAGGAATTGTTGGTTTTGTCTCCACCATCACCTAGATTATTATTGCCAGATAAATTGAGAATTCGTTTTAAATCATTTGCAACTTTTTTCTTCATTTCTTCTGTTTCAGGCAATGGGCCTAGGATTTAAATAAATAAAATCATTCATTTATAGGGCATACACGTAACATTTTAAAGTTGTTTCTTTCTAATCCTTATTTACAATATTTTTAAACGATGCAGAATTCGATACATTTTTATTCTAACTGCAATTTTAACAGTATTCCTAACACAACCAGCACAACTGATAATATCCTATTTCTCTACAACTTATTTTTTTGCCACCTTTTAGTTCTAGATTTTCAATTGTTTTTAGAATACTCATTAAAAGTAAGACAGTAAATTACCTCGTTTTGTCAAATCTGATGTTTTGGAATTTGAAAACATGCCCAATGCTCTCTGGAAAATATAAATATTCAAACATTATGCCCCTCAGAAAACCACTGTAACCCTAATACCCATCATCAAAACATGTATTGTCAGAATTTATTTATTGCATAACATTTTTTTTTGCAGGAAAAACTAAAATATTTCATTGAGGCTCCATATACAACATTCCTATAAAGCTAATAAAAGATATTATTAACATATAAAAGGTAATGTGTGCAATAAAAATACAAAAAGAATAAAAAAAAACCAAAAAGAAATTAGAAGCTTTTGGTAATTAAAAATTAGTCTTTAACTGGAATCTTACCGTTAATCTCCCTTGAGTTATGGCACCACCAGTTGCTTTGACAAAACCATATGGGAGACATGATTGAGATGATTCTTTTCCAGATTGCCGAGTCTTCAAAATTTAAAAGAAACTCAATAAATATACATATTAGTCACTGCTTAACAACACTTCTGTTTTTTTTTCCATATATGGTAACAGTGCTTTTTTTTAATTTATAGTGTAACTCAGGACTTGCATCAATATTCTCAAGTTATGAAAAAAGTGTCCACTTACATAAGTCATTGTTTTTTTAGGCTCACATTGGGGATCAATCTGTTTTTTATTTTTGCTGTCTTTTTTATTCAATTTATCTTGATCCTAGGGAACAAACATATATAACTATAACTAACATACAAATATATATGCCTATACAAATATACAAAACAGACAGATATTTAAAACTGAATAAAAATTCTGATAATCCTCGTTGAAGACAGTTGAAAATAACACCTGCTTGTGTCCTTGTCTTAAATGCAGAAGTTGATATCATTCATATTAAACATGTCCATTAAATATCTATATACATCAAAATAAACCATAGTTAACACATAGCCTACTCATGTTCAAAATCTAATAGAAATAGCTTATAAAAATGGTTAAGTTTAACAATATTAATAAAAATCTTCCTGAAGCAAACACAACTGTAGGAATATAAAATAGCTCCTGCAATATTTAAATAACATAATTTCAGTTTACCAGATGATGGCGAGACATTTGATTTCTCTCAGATTTTGTCTTTCTTTTTCGTTTTCTTTTACCATCTAGTGCAGCCCCACTCATAATTGTATGAATAATTTACAATGTGTCTGAAATATACAGTATGTGTTGATTTATTTGGACAAAAGCTACAATTTTTGGCACATTAATTTGTTTCAATCATTAACATATAATTTGTTTTCTTTTTAATACAAATAGATAAAATAAGCTTTAATTTTTATCTTGAGCTTTTAAAGTGGCTACATAACATGTTCTATTGAAGTAACATTATGGATGTATATAATAACTACGGTAAAGGCTGCACAATCCTAAAAACTTGTGGAAATTGGTTCAAATAAATATTTAAAGCTTTTAAGCATTTATCTTTAGTATTATTTTAGTTATTTCTAATGGCTGACACCATTCAATGGAACACATAGAACCCATACAGAACACCTAAGGCTCAGTTTGTTAATACGAATACAAATGCCACCTTTAATCATTTGCATAATTTATTTTAATATATGAGGTCAATGTGCATCAGTAACCTTCCTTTTAACAAAAATGTTTTTCAGTTATGCCTGATTACAAACTCCCTCACCCCCAAATGAACACTTTTATTATTTAGAGCAGTGGTGTACAGAGGTATGTAGATACCCTTTCTCCTTATATATGTTATTTTATGGAAAATCAAGCAAATACACAAATATATACATCTATCATTTGATTGATAAAAATTTGATCAACCACTTTTATGTATCTTCAGCTAATAAAACATTAGTTTAAAAAAAATATATAATTGAAAAACTTTATGAAAGCAGCCTCAGATCTTAATCATCTCCATCAAGCATGCTATTACTCTGCTTTATTTCTTACTCTGGAGGTCCATTTCAAATATACTATAGAATACCTGACCATCCTAAATAATGTAGTTTCTCACATAGTAATTAGCTGAGGATACTAGATAGGGGATAACCCCTGCTCCTGATTATAGCATCAACACAAACCAGTATGATTAAAGTAAAATCAAATTAAAAATAAAACACTGATAATTTTTAGACAATATCTATGGTCCTGAGATCTAAAAGGATGACTCTCAAATGTAATGACGGATATTTAGTAAGGTGGAATTTCGGGGTGAGATGATGGTGGCGTGAAGTAAATGATAACTGTGCAGTTAAAACAGTGGGTGCAAGAAGTCAAAACCGAAGACTAGTCTCCAAAGTGAAATATTACATTACCAGACCCGACTATGGTTACGCAAAAGAAGTATCGTCTTTTATAATGATAGCAACTGGCTACACCTTATTTATGCACCTCACAATGGTCCACTCAGTGATTCCTATTACTTATACCTGAGGGACTGTAGGGTGTTAACAGTGCAGCAAATTCGGATGTGTGGCATTTATAGGCCAATCGCTCAACAACTGTGTCCAAAGTATAACTGCTTTAGATTAGTTGATTGTTCTATCCTAAAAAACAAAACAAAAAAATTGTTTTCATTAATAGCATTGAAACATTGCCTGACCCTAAACCGCACCCCACAATGAATCAAGATACAAGTTTCAAAATTAATATGGACATAATTTCTCTTACAATGTCCCTGCAATGTAACAATGTATCAAAATACACATAAGCATTTTAATATTTACGATGCCTCTAAAATGTAATACAATGAAAATGGGCATAAATTTTCTAACTTCCCCAATTATTTCTAAGATGCCCCAATATAGTATCAAAATGATTATGGGAAAAGATGTAGCTAAATAAACATCATATACACACTTTGATGTTAAGACACCCATGTTAGTATGAGATGACATCCTGTATGAATAGATAGTAGATTTGAAATTACAAATTAGGATTAATCTTACAAATTATTCTTTTCAGCTGACAAGAACTTTAGCAAGATACATCATTGGGCAAATATTTTATAGAGAACAAAAACAACTACTCGTTTGAATGCATTCATGGAATGCATGCTCAGACCAATGTCCCATCTGCACCCCTCTGCACACCACTGTTTTGGAGCTCAGTAAAACAACGGTGTAGATACAGAAATGAGCGAGAACGTAAAGCATTATTAGTTTTATCAGTCTATGAAAAAATATATCAAATATTGTGAGCTGTTTTTTAATAAGACAGGCATCCGTATCACAACCAATTTATTATTATTTTTTAAAAACCACGTGACCGCTATTTGGCTCATCACTAGTAAGGAACTCTGGTGCATAGCCAATTAAAAAGTCGAACCGATTCGTGGTTTAACGTAGCTTCAGACGTAAGTTGTGTTGTCATGGAGAGGTCTGTTGTGCATGGCAGTGAGTGACAATAAATATTAAATTAAGTAATTTAGTTTAAGCGAACTAAAAACATAAAAATTAGTGCCTCTAGCTAGTGGATTAAATATTCATGTTTATTATTCAGTTTCAGTGGTCATGTTTAACCCTCTTGAGACGCCCGGGCCGATCTATCGACCGCCGGTTTTATAGCCAAAAAGACGACCGGCCGATCTATCGGCCGGGTCTCAGCCGTGATAGTAGAAGCCACACGATTGGCTTTCTAGTATCATATCAGCCAATCAGATTGCTTCTAACTGTTATAGTACATATCTAGCACTTCAATGGCGACTTCCATTGAAAGTTTGCCTCATGTTTTTGTTTTTTATCGATTTTTTTAGTGCCGTGAGTCCTATCGTAAATTTTTTTGTCCAACAGTCCAGTCATCAAAATATACTAAAAATATACTTAGAAATTCTAATGTAGAAATAATAATTAGTAAATTAGTTCAGATTATTGAATAGATGTTTGTGTATTATTTAGATTAGCATTACAGAGAGAAAAAACATATTTTTATACAAATTTACTGTAATTTAGTGCCGTCAAATTTTTTTCGTGCATAAATTATGCAAATCAGAAAGCTCACATATATATATGTTGAGATTTTTATTAGATTTATAAAAATCATATTAGCTCATTCAATTTCCTAATAAATAATATATATTTTTATGCATGTAAAATAATTAGTTTATTTTTTTCAAAATTTTTTTGTGATGCAAGTGCAAAACTTGAAAGTAGGCTCCGTCTTTTTAGCACCAGCTCTCTAAAAAAGCTATGTCTTAAGAGGGTTAAATTGAAAATTAAAATTAAATTGCGTAAGTTTTAGATTTAGTGAGAAAATCTAAGTTTTACTAATATTCTTTAACTTTAGACTAAAATTTAAGAGAAGTCAAGAGGCCAGACAGTGGGCAGACAGGCAGTCACAGAACAGAGCAGAGAGGCTCAAGACAAGTCAAGCAAGTGAAGTGAAGTTTAGTTTAGTAATAGTTTAGTATAGTTAGTTACTATAGTTAGTGAAGCAACAAAAGCTGGTAATCTATCGTTTTGGGTACGTAAAATCGCCCGCGATTTGTAATGTGAAAAACAGGTGACTCCTTAAATTTTAATAATTATTTCACATTTTGAGGAGGATTTATGTTTTAAAAAATTCAAAAATGTTTCCTTGATTCATTTATGTACCTGTTTTTAAACAATTGAATTAAAACTTTTCCGTAATAAATGAAGACTAGCGATGTTTCCAACAGATGCAACCATGCTCATTTACTATAGCAGCCATCTTGTCTAAGTTTTATTTTTATAAGCTTTTAGCGCCAGATTCAGGGGGAAGTCACTCTATTTTACAAATGGCTGCTGTTTATATAGCAAATCTTGCTCTCAGACACTGCTGTTTAAAGTTAATTTCTGGCCTAGAGTAAAGTTCCACGCGCGGTCACACATAGCGGAAAATTCCAAATTCCCGATTTTCATCGGGCGCTATTTTATAACCGTTTCACACAGAAACAAACCGAAAGCACTGTATTACTCCGCTGCCATTCTACTGTAATATGTATGAGTCATTTTGTATTCCTACGCATAGTATTTAAGATATTCATGTTTTAGTGACGTCCCTCCTTGCGATATTTTTTTTCCCTTTTTTTTTTGCCTGCGTACGCAAGAACCTGCTTGCCAACGAGCGTATTGTATACGTTTTGATCCAATTTTAATAATTGAAATAAATATTTTACACACTTAAACGTGTTGTTGATTGTATTATTAATTAATAGATTGCAAAAATAATAATTAAAAACATGTTAATTAAATTAATTAAAGACATTAAAAGTTGACCCAGTGATGACTCAAGGGACGCAACTATAATAATCATAACAAAGGGACGTAACAACCACTAAAAGACATAACGTAACATTTGCTTAGATATGCTTGTATGTAGAGACACAAACTAGATTTAGAAGAAGTAGATGATCGAAATAATTTAAAACAGCAGAAAAAAATAGAAAGTATACAGATTCTAGGCTTAGTTTGAAATATAGAGCATCTAGAACTAGGCTAGTCTAGCTCAAGTCGTTGGTTACGCAGCGATGTGAAACCACCGTAATCGACACCCAAGCTGCGGCCACCCCTATTTACCTATCAGGTTGCTTTATTAGCCTTATCTATCGTATGTACAGTGTCCCGCATATATTGTAGAAGCTATTTATAGTTAACCTAGTTATAAAAAGCTTTGATTGGTTGGTTTTATTCATCTCATCCGGGACCTAGTGTTTTTCATAGGGGGAACTAGAACCGCCTACGACGTCATACCTCGAAACTTTAAAATTTAAAAACTCGACTTCCAGAAGGAGAAAAACAAAAGAATTTGACCTGGATATATTTAGAAATGGACAGGTTTACAGCAGATATCGGTAGTTTCGTATAAAACATCAAAACAAATATTGTACGAAGCGATAAACAGGCGATGATCGCACCGGTGTTTTAACCGCGCGTGGAACTTTACTCTATATCGATATATTTAGCCATTGATTTAGGTTTATTATTCATTTATCTATAATATTTGACACAAAAGTATGACAATATACTTCTATTAAAGCCTTGACAATGAGGAAACGTTTTCGTACATAAATAGCCGCGGGCGATTTTACGTACCCAAAACGATAGATTACCCAAAAGCTAGACTAGAATCTTGTAACAAGGTCTTGTCGGCATTTTCTGAAAATCTTACCTGCGTAGATTTTGTTTATAGCTAGACTAGCTTAAAATAGCACAAACAAAATGTAAATCTGGTTACATCTAATATAGACTTCACTTAGTTATTAAACTGTTGTAGATTCTAGATCTAGTAGATCTATAGATCTAGTTCTTCGTACATATTGCCGCCATCTTAACTTTCCAAAAGTATCATTAAGCCGGGCGAGGTTTCGTATAAAAGAAATGCAGGCCCTGGATTGAATTTTTTAGGCCAGTTGTTTAACAGTTTTGATAATCATAAATATATTAATTATTCTTACCAAACAATACTTATCATCAAGCCATATCTTAATATTAAAAAAAATTATCAACCTAGGCTACCGTTTGATTTTATTATATTATCAATAAAGCGAACGTTATGCGAAACTAAATCTACCAGTGCGCATGTAAGCACTTAGTTTCTATAGAGATATTACAAAGCATACAAGATGGCGAGCACCTTGATTTCTGCTAAATATCCTACTAACATCGATCCTACTAGAACTCCTCTGGCCTATGGGAATCGTGCAATACCACGTTTAGTAAGCAATTTAGAAAGTTTTATTTCAATTGAATTCATTCATTTACATTTTTACTAAGTGTTAGACTCTAAATCAATCAAAACAGTAACACTACTACTAGCTAGATCTAAATAATAGCGAGGCTCACTAACTTGAAAGCGTCATTGGTTGCTAACCAGAACATGGCGTTAGGATCGGACCATGACTTCCGGCGAGTTTTTCGACTTAGTTCCAGGGACCTCCTTGGAATTACTTTTAAAAGTGTTTACCACGAGCAAAATGGCAGGTTTTCACGTTATAAAAACATGCTATAGGTGGCAAGTCGAAATATGCCAGAAAAGCATTTTCAAAAATTGCTTTGGAGAATGTAGGCTAAATTTAAAGTCGGTGTCATTCAAAATAATATAACTTTTTAAATATAGATCTCCATATCACAAAATTGATTTCCAAAGTAAAGCATTATTAGTTTTATCATTCTATGAAAAAATAAATCAAATATCTTCAACACTTTTTTTTATAAGATGTGTCCAAAAAATGACAACCAAATTTTTTTATTTTTTTTTACCACGTGACCGCTATTTGAATGGATACGTTTACCTGGCATGGTTTTTTATTTTGCTCTTTTGTACAATAAAAAATGTTATAAAATTAAAGAAATAAAAGAATTCAAACATCACTTCTGTCTTGTCTTTTTTAAAATTCTTTTCTGATGACATTCTCTTAAATTTTTTCCCTCTATAAATATATCCCGACGATAGACGGGCCAATTCTACTTTTAGGAACTCTCTTGTAAAAAAAAATTAGATCTATTTCACGGTCAATTAAAAAGTTAAACCCTTCAGCTTTTAAGCAGGTTGTCATGGATGGATCCCTCATACCATAGCTGTGAGTGACCAAAAAATTTAAAATTCAATAATTTAGTCTAAAACTTGCAAATTCCCAAAATTAGTGCCTAGTGGATAAAGTATGGACGTTTTTTATTTAGTTGTCATGTTTAAGTTGAAAATTGAGTACATTTCAAATTTACTAAGAAAATCTACTAAATAATCTAGTCTAGTACTACTACAGTAAAAAAAAAACCAGTTACACTACAGACGACAGTACAGTACAACAAACAATTTAATAAATAGATGTAAATTTAAATTAATAAATGGGACACCAGGGAGTTTACAAATTTTTTCAAATAACTTTGAGGCTATTTTTGGTTGAGTCCATTGGTAATCAATCATTTTAGGTAAGTAAAATCAGCCAAGGCTAGTAATGTGAAAGAAAGGTGACTCATTAATATGGCTTTAATACATTTATATTGTGATATATTGGATTGCGATAAGCTCACAATAGTTTTTTTTAAATATGCCTTGCAGACATTATATTAAGTATCCCTTCCAAACTGTGAAAAATAAACAAAAATGAAAAGTTATTTTTGAATTTGAAGAACAGAGAGCTGAACGATGAAAACTTGTTGGTGCGACAGAGAGCGGTTATGTCCCTTTGTGATCATCTGCATGACCCTGAACATATAGCAGAGTCTATAAGAAATGGTAATTATCATTTATAGATTTGTTTCTATATAATATTGAAACAGCCTTTTAAAAAATTTATTATAGTCAGTTACATTGAAGTAGTATCATCTTTTTCCTTTTTGTGCCCAAGACACATGGAACTGCCATAGAAAGCTTACTCTAATATTGTCATCTCCTTCAAATTTCCTGACAGCCCCACAATGCAGTCCTGCCTCTGCCAGCTGCTTCTCCACTGTGTGCCTCCTTGTCTCCCTTGGCCTTCTCATCCATCTTTTTAATCTCGCTGATTTCAGAAACAGATTCCATTTCCATCACTCCTAGTAAAGTATGGTGGAGTTTTTTGAAGTTAAATATTTTAATGTTATAGTTAAATCACTGCCAATTATTTTATTTAATTAAACAATTGTTATTTAAAATTGCAGGGATAGATAAAAGTTTAAAAAACCTTTTAAAAGATCCTGACATCACTGTACGGCAAAAAGCAACAGAATGCCTCTGTGTTATGTCAGGTATGTTGTATAATTATATTTAGGATTTCAAAACAAACTCAAGATTTTAACATGACAAAGCTGTGAAAATTAGTTTACAAAGAGTTCTTATCAACCAAATGAATTGCATATTTTTTAAATGTATTAATAAATTCATATTTTACTTAATTGTTACTAAATTGTTTTGTTCTTAAGGCAAAAACTGTACATGAATATCACAGCAGAGGTTTGATCATAAATTATATTATAAATGTTTCAACACTCTTTGGTCACAATTTTGATTATGATTTCATTTATTCAATAAAATACACTTTGTATTTATTTCATTCATAAGCACATATGGTTTTTATAACATGAACAGACAGATATAAAATAAAACTTTTTTTTCTATACATGAATGTCAGCATTACAAAGGAAAAGAGGTTAAGCATGGTACCAATTCAATAATAAACACCTTTAAAAAATTATTTTATATGTTATTTATTTACTTTGATAATTGAACTTAGTGTCAAATTAAAGGCAAATAAATGTAGCTTTCAATAGTCTATGTCTTCTTAAACAATGTAAATTAAAACTCTTATGCAACACCCTAGTAATGTAAATGCCTGTTTTAGCTTTCACCTTATAAGCCTATTATTGAACTTGCTGTTTTGAATACAAATTTGGATATCATAAAAGTTCCTCACCATCACTATATCTATTTTTTAATCACAGTCACCTGTCAACATTATAATCATTGTCTTTTTCAGTTCTAATTATACTTACAAAAAGGCTCTTAAACTTCAAACTGTTTTCAAAACATTATATTCACACCATTTTTTATACAAATATTTTGTATGCAAATATAATGATAAAAATGTTAATGCCATCCAAGTAAACTGTGCTAGTCTATTTGAAATTTACAAACAATTTTAAAGTTTTAAAGCATTTATAGTCAAATGTTAACACGTTTTTATTAACTCAGCTTCGCGTGGATGTGTTTGTTGTTAAAATTGACATCGAAAATTAGCCCACTTCTGATTGCTCTATAGATCTGAAATTTGGCATGCAGGTTACTTTCGCCTAACAATTTCAGATGCAATCATAAAAACTAGCAATTAGAGACCGTAATTAGCTTAATTTAATTACGCCCAAAGGACCATAAAATTGAGGACATGATTTCTAAAGATACCGACAAGACTGGAGGCTTGTTGACACAGTTACTTCGGCCCCAATCGATGTGAGCGCGCTGGCCGTGATCGTATAGTGGTTAGTACTTCGCGTTGTGGCCGCGACAACCCAGGTTCGAATCCTGGTCGCTCAAGATTTTTTTAGTCCGTGTATTTATAAACACTTAGTCAATTCATACTTAATCAAGTCATTAGATAAAGTAGAAAATAAACTATATAAAAAACTTTTTTAAAAAACACGTTTTTCATGTGTAGCAACGGACTAAAAAGGAGAAAATAAAATACTTAAAAAAAACTTTTTAAAAAACCACGTTTTTCTTGTGGACTAAAAAGTAGAAAATAACTATTTACATACATTTGATGACAAAAAACGTGGGTCGGGCAGATGGGTCGGGAAATTTGATGGTGAACGTACCCACGTTTTTTGTCATCAAATGTATGTAAATAGTTATTTTCTACTTTTTAGTCCACAAGAAAAACGTGGTTTTTTAAAAAGTTTTTTTTAAGTATTTTATTTTTATTTTGTTATTGATCACAACCCAAAACAATAACAAAGAGTTTAATATTCAAACAGATTTTGGATTTACAGCTTTAAATTCAAAGATAAAGGTTTTGATTGACATGAGAAATTTTAATTGCTAATTGAAAATGGAACAAATCATAAATTAATAGAATTATTTTCTTCCCAGGTCATGCCTTAGGGAGAGATTCATTTTTGGAAAACCAGACTATATTTCCAGTGGCTCTTTTATTTAATGACCCTGAACCAATAGCCAGAAAAAATGCACATATGTGTTTGATGAGGATTTCAGAAACGCCCCCAGGCAATTAATTTTTATCCTTATCATGTCTTTAATTTTATACATCAGAAAATATCTTATCATTGTTTTTATATTTTTCTCTTATTAGTCATATTTAAAATTTTATATACCTGATTTTAGAATATTTTAACCTTAATTTCGATTTTAATTCTATATATTGTTGGCTTATATTGTTTGGTTTTTAAGCGATTTTTAATTTGTTGCCATTTTTAATCAAAATTTACTAATTTATACATTTTCTTAATGTAATTAAGAAATAATATTGCCTACATTTATTTCTATACATTGAATTGAAACATTGTGTAAACAAATCTAAATTTGTAGGTGCTGATGGCATTGTGCAAGCACAATTTGTGGATCTTTTAGTTAAAAAGTTAGAGATTGAGATGGATAACATCAAGGTAAGTTTTATATTTAGCTTACACAAGCTTAAAAAACAGAATTAGAAATAGCTGTTTTGATACAAATTTTACAAATCCGCTAAAAATATTTCTTCTAATTAGGAGATAATTTTGGACACGCTGCACTTTTGTATGAGGGTGGACACACTGAGTGCTCTTGAAGCAAATGCAATGGAAGCTTTTACTCTGCTGCTGAAACATGAGCTCCCCACTATCAGATTTAAAGCTGCCAGGGACATTATGGATTTAAGGTCTGTAGCGAAAAATTTTAAAGCTATTTTCCTATATATTTTCCTATATATATTAACTCTTACTTCAAATTTTAATCCTCGTCCTAATGCTAATTCTGTCTTAAGCTCTACAGCAACACTTTTAAAAAATCACATTAGGATATTGGAAAGTCCTGCTAACTTTAGAACTAAAGCTGAGTACAAAAGATAAAATGCCACACTATAAGTGTTTTTTTTTAATGCGGATGTTATAAAATGTTTCCCTTATCATCTGTTCACAGTGTTCCTCTAGCTGGCAAGGATAGAGCTGTAGCTTGTGGAGCTCTCCAGCTGCTGAAGGATATGTTAAAAGATCCAACACCAGAGGTCAGAGCAAATGCAGCTGGTGCCATAATGACGTAAGTATAATTATTTCAACTAACTGTGTGAAAAAGATATGTTTTAGTGTCAGTATAAATATTGTAATTTTTTTACATTAAATTTATTTTAAATAAAGTATTAAAAGTTTAAACTTCCAATGAAATCTGTTTATGTGGAGGTCAAAAGACTAAGTAAACTAATATTCTGATAGAGCAAAAATGTAATGATGTACCTTTATTTAAAACAGATATTTTTTTCAAATTGAATACCTTATTAGATTATAATTATAGTTTACTAAAATGTTTTTTGCAGTAATATATATTAGTCATGTTAACTTATATGGATGTTTCTTTAAGGATTACAATCACTACCAAAGGAAAATATACAGCAATTCATGCTCTGACTATTCCTTCCCTGGTCAGTTTGGTTGATGATCTTAATAGTGAAGTCAGATTAAATGCTATCAAAGTAAGTCTGATATAAAATATTTACCTCACTATTTACCTCAATATTTACCTAAACAATTATCAAAAAATATTTATTTTACTTTCAGGCACTGACTTGCTTATCAGAAGCACCAGAAGGACGGCAAGAGCTGTTGCAGCATGTGGACAAGGTAAAACTCCCAATTCTTTTCATATATATATATATATATATATATATATATATATATATATATATATATATATATATATATATATATATATATATATATATATATATATATATATATATATATATATATATATACATATATATATATATATATATATATATATATATATTTACATTATAATGCATTTTTAATGAGCAATAAAAAAAGAAGTAAAACAATACATAATTAATAAGCATTAGACAGTGAAGTTTTTTGCTGGTAGAGGTTCAGTCATTAAAAAATTGCACTGAAAAATGTTGAAAAATCCTGTTGAACAGATCAATGTTTGTTTTTAAATAGTCATGTACATCTTTCATATACCTACATAGATATTAACTGTTATGGTTCTTTTCATCATTCCAATAGTTTTTCCAAAATAACAAGTAAAATACATACCAAGCATTTTTCTTGGCAATCAAAGGCAAACGAAAATTGGAATTTAAGTTATGATAATAATTAATTAGTTTCTAGTTACATTAGGTGAAATCTCTTTTGCCTCTGTATGACTGATTTAATTATCTTCTTAGATTCGCAATCATATGAAAGACAACATACAATCAGTGGCCAATGCTGCGAAAACTGCAGTAAAAGTTATAACATGGCTGCCATAATCTAATGCTCAATCAAGTCAAGACAGAGATTACTTGAAGTAAAAATATGTCTGTTACTTTTTATTTGCAAGCATGTTAAAATATGTGTGTTATCTAATCAATTTGATAGTATACAAAATTTAGCCAAGAAACTTTCCTTGTTCAGTAAAGAAGGTGTTTTATTTCTTTTAAATTAATGATGTAAAAAAATTTCAACTGTGATAAAACCTAGCATTTCTTTTCTCAAAAATTAAAAAAATATTTGAGTTGTGACAGTAATAAAAATATATTTTTGGATGTGGAGAACATGTGACTTATATATTTTAATTTTAAAGTAATATATTTTTTATATAAAAGTGTATACGGCCATTTCTGAGTAACAATTTTAAAAAAATGTTTTTAAAAATGTACATTTTATAAACTGATATTTCTGATATTTTATGAAGTTTTCATGACTGTGTATAATTTTTCATTAACTCCATTTCACCAAAATTTATACCAAGCAAATATTATATTTTTGTTTGAACTAATTAACAGCCAAACCCGACGTTTTTGCCAAAATGCTTCACTTAATTAATGCTATTCATGTTGATCTTGAGGGAATGTTAGGAAATGTTAATAAAACAATAGGCAGGATGTATATATTAAAAACAAATAAACCTGATTCTGTATTTATGCCAAAATATTTTTTCTTACTGATATTCTGATGAAAGTACAAACTTATTTTGTGTTCTAAATCCATTTTGGATTAACATTATATACTATGTTTTCTAATAGTTGATGAATTAAAATACAAACATGTTATTTTTTAGTCCATTTTGGATTAACATATACAAGTTTTTTAGTTAAATTAAAATGTGTAAAGATTGCAACAACTGTCTCATTCACACAAAAATATATTTGTTTTCTTTTATCTGTTGTTTGAAATTTATCAAAAGTGCATTTTAACTTTTGTGCAGTAAAACATGAAATAAGAATAAAATAGGTAATCTTGTCTTAGTATACCTGCAATCAATTCCATTAGAACAAGATGTGTCTTTATTATTGTTGGTTTTGTAAGAAGGCCACCTAAGTTTATTGACTCAAGGTAGTTAAATCATGTAAAAATAAGTTGTCTTTATTTACTTGAGTTATTTCCCTGCCTAAATAATTACGTATTTGAACTGTAGTAATTTTGTTGGTCAGTAGCTGCAGGCACAGAAGACTAACTTTATTCAAAACATCCTAAATATTTACATTAACCGATTTGAGTGCAGATTGTTATTAGTTTATTGTTTTTGTTGCTACAGATTTTAAAAATAAAACCTTTGCTACTTTTAACAATTTGTAGTTTATGCATTCTCGGGTATTAAAATGTAACATCCGAGAAAGCAGAAACTTAATTTAAATGAACCACAGAATTAGCCACACCCATAGTTTCAAATATGCGTACCCTATATAGTTTACAATGTATGCTAAGAAGGTATACGGTATAGGTAATCTATATAATAATGTATACTTTAGAAAATCAACGCTCTATCGAAGGAATGTAGCATACATCCTTATGTTAGGTCGTAATGTTAGACTTGTGGCGTCACTAAGTCGGCTGGGTGTCATGTCACAGCCCAGCGTTGGTGCTTCAATATGTAATTAACTATAACTAGCTGTTAAAGCGAACGCAGAAAGCTTTAATTTCTCTATAATCTTGGTTTTTTTTTTAAATTTGTTGCTACCATCTTGAATGGTGTCACCCGGTACGCCCCCCCCCCCCCCTCCACATCCCCATATTGACGCTACTGCCTACAGACCCAGCTTTATTTCTCCCGCGCCGCGGGCGGCCGCCCCCCCCCCCCCCCCCCCCCCCCCTCCGTCCAACCCTCAGCTTTTGCACAGTGCAGGTCATCTTTAAGCGAAACTATTTGTACTCAGTGGCTCAACGTTTTTTACATGGCAGATTGCCGTCCCAAGGGGGGGGGGGGGGGAGAGGGGGGGGGGGGTTGTTTGACTAGACAGGTAAACGCTAAAAATGCTAATTGTGTCTCTGTATTTTTGTTAGCTTCTCTCAAATGACCATTTTATTTATTGTAAAAGCTTCATTTGTCAATCAATTTGAAGTGAATTTTAGCTTGACCATTGTGAGCTGGAGGGAGGGAAATATTAGTGTTTACAAAATTTGAATTATCAGACCATGGGCTCCCTATTGTTTCTTACTAATTTGTAGTCCATACTGAGAAGCCCCCCAGTTGTATATTTATTCATATTAGCAAAAAAGCCCCCCCCCCCCCACCCTTTTCCCTTTCATTAAGAATTGATACCAGTAACGTAACAGGTTTTTATGTTGGTATCAAACAATTGATGTTGATAACAATTAAATAAGCCCGTAAAGCCAAATAACAGTCTATTTTTATTTAACTTCAACTGTGTATAATTAAGTAATGCAGCTCAAAATGAGCGTTAAAAAAATATTTCCTACCCCGTTCAGCACCCCTTAAAGAAATATTTATGGCATCGTTCATGTTCAATAGAGTTTCTTTCAGGCATCTCTACGGTGGAGCGGACCCCCCCCCCCCCCCATTCCATAGAACGTAGCCTGTTTTATACCCCCCCCCCCCCCCCAACGAAATAGAATTTATATAGAATATATTTTTTTTTACCAGTTTTAACATTGTCCGCCCCCCCCCCCCCCCCCCATACAGCAGGTCTACCGTCTGTAGCTAACACAATTAGGGATCATAATATAGGCTATAATCACACAAATTGGATAACAAACACTGGTGCTCGGCGATCACTTCTTATAAACGAAAGTGGTGTGAAAATCATATTGTCGAATTACACAGGTTTCAAGAAGTGAATCATGCCATTTTTTAAGGAAAAAAAGTTTCCTGGGGCGGTTAAAAATGTATAATAATAATAAGCCCCGGTTATTATCAATTTTCCGTGCTGCTATAATTAGTTATGAAAAAGTGTCATTATGTCATGAACGCGTCAACAACCTATAAATAGCAGCAGGATCGATGGAGCTAAACATTAACTTCTCATTAAATATTTTATTTTTATTGAATTATTTCACCTAACTTTACAATGTTCGATGGATAAAACACGTTCTCGTGTAAAATCAATAGACCTCCATATAGACAGTCTAGAATCTAAAAGGTCTACTACAATAAATGAAGTTTTATTTGATTTTATTATGATAGTCTAAGCTAGGAACGTTGTGCCTATACCAAGTTAACGTGTTAGCATAGCCATGTATCATATAGGGTACTCTTCCTCTTAAAGGCGTCGTCTATTAAAGGTCATACTAATTTTTGTCTCCCCCCCCCCCCCCCCCCGTCCCATTTCGTCACAAAACATCAAAAGTTCATTTAATTGACGCTACGTAACGCTCCAGCTTCCCCACAAAATAACTAGGCTACAGTTTTGACTGAAATTAGCAAGTTGCATTAAGTAGCTGTACAATAACATATTGAAATACATGTTACATCACGTTTCTTCTTAAGACACCATCTGTTGGTTGGACTCTGTCACAAAATGCCCCCCCCCCCCCCCCTCTCCGTTCCCACCAGATCGCCGTGCGACGCCTAATTTTTGGACAACCTAAAAGTAGTAAAAGTATTGACAGCATTGCCCTCACGCCATAATAAGCTATTGATCTTTTAATACATAGTCTCCATTGTTGCAGGTTTTTTTTTCATTTTTTAGATATTTTCATTAGGGCCTAGATCTAGATTAGTTTAAACGGAGTTACGTTTTAAAAGGTTGTTAGATAATGATGTCACAGATGAGGAATAAATTAAACATGCTGAATTTTAGTCCTAATGATAATTGTTTCGTATTCACATTGAAGGCGAATATTTTTATACAATACATTTACAATTACTTCCGGAATTCAATGAGGGAAAGGAAAACAAATAATTTAATATAATAATTGTAGTGATATGGTTAGATACTGATAACTGATAGATCTAGAGATTAGAACCTCCTTCATTTATACGGGATACACATCTAATTAAGCCGACCTTTTCTGAAATAATATCGAAGGTAATATGCACGTATGTGTAAAAAAAAGGCAACTGTTTTTTTTTTTTAATTTAAATAAAAGCACTGAACTCTGAGAAGTGCCCTGGCCGCTGTCCAGAGCAGTTCAGTGAGCTGTTGAGCATACTTCACTTTTACTTTTGAGTTGGCTTACTTCAAGACTAGGGACTAGCCAGCCAGAGCAGTGTGTAGCTGTGTTAGTGTATATTATTACAGTTAACAGATCTATAGCTATCCAGCACTATACTATAAAGAAACGCTGTTTTTGTTACTTCAATGAATTAAAAGGCAATTAAAAGCAAATTTTGATTTTTTAGTGTAGTCTGTTACTGTGTTAGTGTTAACTTTACGTGTAGGACTGTAGATCTAGATCTAGTCGTAAGTAGTAGACTCGATTCTAGTAGTAGTGTAGTAGACTTAGTGGTGTAGTGTAGAGTTCTGTGAGAGTAGTAGAGATAGAGAATATCTAGATTATATATAATGTAATATCTAGATCTAGAAACTAGCATTCTAGTCCAGTTCTGCAGCTGATTGTAGATCAAGGGATACAAATAAATTGTAAAAAGGCCCAGCTCCCTCTCTAGGCCTAATAATAGATTTGTCATTCAGAATGTGGTTCAGGAACTAATAAAATAATCCGACCTAATTGGGCCCTAAATCTAGATTCTATATGCTTAGATAATTCATAATATTATTAGTCCATTCTTCAATTTTTCATAAAAATTAAGGCACTTGACAGTTTTACCAAGAGACTAAATTAGTATTAGGCCTACTCTATATTAAACTGATATGTATTATCATTCATCAATAACAACAGTGTGGCTAAGCTGTATGTAAAGTGTATAGCGTAGACTATAGTTTTTAGGAGGCAACAATAAAACACTAAAAAGCAACATCAGTCCTAAATATGGCATATCAAATCTAAATCAGTGTTATTTATTTTATTTAACCTAAGTACTAAAGTAGCCCATATACCAAAGCTATTTAGAGCTGTTAGTGAGGCAAGTACATGAATTAGCCAACACAATTTTTTTTTTGCAGTAACAGAATGTGAAAAGATCATTTATTTATAAGACAAAGCCCTAAAAAAAATTTAAATAAGTTTGCCTGCATATTAAAACAATGTGACTAGGCAGATTTGTGCAGCTGATTTAATGGCCTTTGGCTTCTTTATGTCATTGTCAAGCACCTACACCTATTGCATATCAACATTATTTTCGGATGATAATTCGAGTCGTCCCTTTGAATCCCGGTCAGAACGTCCCCCCATTGTGGCCTCAACCAACTGGCGGGCTTGTTGCATTGAGTTAAATATAAACTACAAACAGCATAATTTTATGTTTGTGATAAAGTTTTAAAAAAAAACTATATACAGGATTTAAATTCCAGCATTCAGCTGTTTAAAAATTTGACATTATTTCATTCTTTAAAGCTCTCACCTTGTCCATCTAATGTGAAATGCAGTGCTACTCTATTGTCCTAGTTGTCTCAGGCTGGTAAAGCCAGAGATTGTAGGGCAAGTTTATTAATTACAGCTTAACGTTTAATCGATAAGCCATTGATAAAATCAATGTGGCTAGCCATTATTTTATTTTCTAGAGAATTGGAGTGGAAGGTGGATTATGTTTTGTTTACAAACTTAGCTGTACCATTCATTGTGGTATTGGGTTTTATAAAAGTTATTCAGTGTGTTGAAAGTCGACATATAATAATATTGAAATTTAGGCATTTTAGTATGTATACTTGTATACTTGTAAATAGGTTTCAAAACTTGCTTAACAGACACATTTTTGTCTTACATAATCTGTTCAAAATTATTCCATTTTGTTCTTGTGAATTCAACAATTAAAGTACTAATCACTTTGAAGTTGAGTACGCTTATATACAGTGTTTCTTCCAGACTTTTTTCTCCGGGGGGGCACTTGAAATCTTCGGGGGGGCGGTAAACTTTCTTCGGGGGGCGGACACTGTTAAAAGTATATATTTTCTATATAAATTATATAAATTTCATTTCTTTCGGGGGGGGCGGTAACATTTTTTCGGGGGGGGCTTCGCCCCCCCGAAGAGATGCCTGGAAGAAACTCTGCTTATATATTTTTATATTATTATTGTTTAAATTTAAGACTTCTCAAGATGATGTTTGGTCTATTAAGATTACCC